TGATACAGCCCCAGCTGGAGCTTGTGCTCATCCCTGAAGAAGTCCCTTGTTGATTAGAGAAATTCTTCTTCCAAAGGAGGATGTATTTCCCTGTGTGACGAAGTTGTCTCCAGGAATATTGCCATTATCCGTTGGCTTCTCATCTGCCCTGAGCTCAGCCTCAGCTTCTGAGTCTTACTCAGAAGCACTGTATGGATGAGAAGTTCATAGAGGAGTCTTAGATTTTGAAAAGGACCTGTAGCTGGACATGATTTCCTATACATAGTACAGACTTCCAAGCAAATAACACAGAGCATGGAAAATAGCATGTCACTTGTATCACGAACCATATAGAAAAGTTTGACTATGTTTTTTAAAAACTAAACAGTTCACACACTAAAAATAAGCATGAAATATATATCTTTAACTCTTGTTTTAAAAGTCAAGTTTAATAGGGTTCTCATTTAATTTTTTGAAGTACATAATATATTCATATGGTTCAAAAGGCAAAAGGTAGAAACAGTCACACATTGACAAATCTCCTTCCCATTGATCAGATCCCCGCCTCACCCTACAAAGGTAACCACTATTCTGTGTCTGTATATCCTTTCAGAGCATCTTTTTACATATACAAGTAAATACAGATGATCCTTTTCCCCCTTTTATACCCAAAATGTAGTCTATAATACGTACGGTTCTGAGTCTCACTTTTTTCTTTGAAGCGCTTTCTGTAACAGTTCATTAAGAACGTTCTCATTTCTTTTTTTTTTTTTTCGGATTCAGACACCTGAGCAATATTATTTCTTTTTTACAACTACATATTATTCTATTGCGTGGATGTGCCATAATTTATGTACCCTTCCCCCATTGGTAGATTTTTGTGTTGTTTGCTATTTTTTCATATCACAGTGCTTCAGTGAATAATGTTGTGTGTGTATATATATATATATATATATATATATATATATATACACACATATATCATTTTTCACGTTTCAGGTATATCTTAGAATACACACCACAAAGTGGAATTGTTGGCTCAAAGGACATAAGCATTTTTAATTTCAGTAGGTATTTCCAAATCATGATTTCTTTTTTGATCCTTGTCAAATCTACATGAATTGTACAGCATCAGAAAAGACTAGTTGACATAAATCAACCTTTTAATAATGATGTCTTCTATTTATATAATGCTTTATAGTTTAAATATACATGAGCTTATATGATCCTCATGATAATCCCGAGAAATTGATGTCAAGGATTATTATATCCATTTGACAAAATAGGAAACTGAGGCTAAGCAAGGTTAAGTGAGCTGCCCAAGTCATAAATGTAGTACACAAAAAAGCCCAGGTCTTCTGATTCAAGTCACTTTCTGATGAAAAACCTTATTGGTTAGTTGGTCAATTTCAGATTTAAATAATTGACCTTATTTTTGAAGCTTAATTTAATATGTGAAAATAATTGCTAATGTTTATCGAGAGCTCTATTCCAAGGTCTTTACAGTCTCATCTAATCCTCATCTCAGTACTCCTATGCTATTCACTTGTGCTATCCGGCTGGATGTAAGACAACCCTAGGTGACTAATAGTTTTTTCCTGAGAAACTGTGCAGTCAGTTAAGTCTTCTAAAAAGTAGGTGTATCTTGGCCGGGCATGGTGGCTCTCGCCTGTAATCCCAGAACTTTGGGAGGCCAAGATGGGAGGATCACGAAGTCAGGAATTTGAGACCAGCCTGGCCAACATGGTGAAACCCCATCTCTACTAAAAATACAAAAATTAGCCAGGTGTGATGGTGCATGCCTGTAGTCCCAGCTACTCTGGAGGCTGAGGCAGGAGAATCACTTGAACCCAGGAGGCAGAGGTTGCAGTGAGCCAGGATCGCACCACTGCACTCCAGCCTGGTGACAGAGAGAGACTCCATCTCAAAAAAAAAAAAAAAAAAAAAAGTAGCTACCATTTATCAGGTTCCAGGCTCCAGGCACTGCAGTAGATGCTTATTTAATCATCAGATGACAAAGTTCAATGATCTATTCAAGATTACACACACAGTAAGTGGCCTCATCAGGTTTTGAACTTCTTTCTCATTCCATATAACCTTCCCACTACAGAATTCTGCTTGTATCCTCACCTCTAACTCGCCAGGTAATAAAGATCTGGACTAGGATGATGATGGTTATGGAAAAGAAGGAAGGTTGGGAGACATGTACCAAATATCCTGGCTCTTCTTTCAGATTCTTTATGGATCACAAGCCCCAAGCTGGCAGGAGGGGGAGTTGTACTCTGCATCTATAGTGAAGAAGCCTCAGGGTAGTCACCCTTATGTGTTGTCTAGTAATCCTGTACTACTGGACAGCGAGCTCTGCTGCTGTGCTTTGGAGCCAAGATACATAGCATTGCTGGATCGTGCTACCACATGCCTGCCTGCCTATCTCTCTTGCTGGCTGGGGCCTGGTCTTGGTTTTTCTTGTTTATATACTATGGCAGCATAAGACAAGTTTAGAAGACAAAAATAACCTTGGAATTATCTTGTGAATTCATGGCAATTACCATGCAATTACATGCTCAGTAACCACAATGGAATTTGACAGTGTTTACAGTTCACTTCCATGTGCAAAAGTCCATGCTTCTGGGCTTTTCACTGTGAAGGTGAGAGCATGGCCAGCCTAGTATGGCAGGGGGAGCAGATCTGGTGGCCATGCCCATCCACACAGACTAGCCAGCTGGGCCAGAACTTCTCCAAGCCTGTTCTTGTTACCCCACCAGTTATTCCTGCTTAGTCCACCTGAGCCATGCTGTCCTCTAGCAGGCAAAACCTGGAGCAACTGCCCTGAGTTGTCCTTGTCTAAGGATGGTGTGACTGTCCCTTGTGCCTTGTAATAATCACCTGCTTTTGCCCCAAAGCGTTTATCAATGGGCAGTTTCTTTCTTGAATTACATCCTTTGAAGAGTCTCTTAAGTCAGAGGGAAGAGAGCTATCCACCTCATCTGTTTCATTTATTCATTCTCTTTTATTTAATAAACACTGAGTGCCTGTTCCATGCTGGTATCATGCCCAAACTGGAGATTCAGAAACCAAACACCACCTGCCCTCAGAAAACTCCCAGTCATAGAAGGGAGAAGGCCAGGGTAACAGCTCATGATAGGTCAGGGTGACAGTGTACAGTTGTGAGGCATATGAGGGTCAAATCAATTCTTCATTCTTGGAAAAATCCCAGTGGCTACAAATGGGACGCTATTAGTGAGGGTACGCAACTCAAGAGGTCTTAGCCTGTGGGGGCCTAACACATCTGTAGATGTGGATTCGGCTTGCATTTAGGGTGGAGCAGCCTTAACTAGTGGTACTGATGACGTGACCCTCAGACACAGGATTTGATGTAAATATTGAAGAAAAAGATATCATGTGTGGGGGTAGCATGTCACCAAACGTGACCATGAAATCTGAGTGTGTGTGTGTCTGTGTGTGTGTGTGTAGAGGGAGAGAGAGATGCAGGAGAGAAGAGGATATATATTCTTTACAGGGAACTCGGTCCACCCCAGTTCCGCTGTACTGCATCAGAGACAGGAGGCGAGGCTGAGGCCTGATTATAAAGTATATGAGGTCGCTACGATTCCTTACGGCAGCTCCAGATGAGCGGCACCACCTTTTCCTACTCCTGTTCCAAGTCACTGCACAAGTCCAGGTACCTCGTTGCCCAGCAGCTGTGCATCACCACAGTTGAAGAACCGGTCCAGGCATCTTTATCTTCTAGGCCCTAACGTTGGCTTTGGCCCTATATGCTCCATGTTCTCTAAATTTCTAGCTATCCAAAGAGCAAAACGTCTGATTGACCAAAGCAAATATCACACCTCACAAAGACCATGAGAGAAAACTGCCAGGATCCAATACTTCATCTGGTACATACTACATTTTAAACGTTTTTAAGAAATACATAGTGACAGCACTTTGAACCTGCTATCTCCAATCTTTTTGGCATGGCTTTCACTGATAGGCAAGCAAGATAAAGAAGAGCAGTTTCCCCAAAGAAAGAAAGCACTATCAAAATTCTAATGTGAGCTGGCCCATGCTCAGTGACTTACTTGCTGCCAAAGTTTAAAGTATGGGAAGAGAGGGAAAATGCCTTTACCTCAGAAAAACTTGTAAAGATTTCTCACAACTTTCAAAAGCCACTGTAGCCCGGTGGTGAAGGTTAACATCATTAGTGATAAGTCACATTGATGCCATGTACCCTTGATGTGAGGTGATGAAAATGGCAGATTGCCCATGTGGTCTTGCTCTCAAAAACACATTACTACAACCTACTCAGGAGAAAAATATCAGATAAACTGAAATTGAGAGAGATTTCACAAAATGCCTGCCCATTACTTCTCAGAACTGTTCAGATCATCAAACACAGGGAAAGTCTGAGAAGCTGTGAAAGCCCAGAGAAACCTATGGAGATATGACAGCTAGTCATGGCGTGGTATCTTAGATGGGAGCCGGAAGCAGAAAAAAGGAATTAGGGAAAAACTAATGAAATCTGCATAAAGTATGGATTTACATTAATAGTATTATAGGATCAGGTACGGTGGCTCACACATGTAATCCCAGCTGAGTCTGGCAGATTGCTTGAGCTGAGGAGTTCAAAAACCAGCTGGGCAACATAGTGAGACCCTGTCTCTACAAAAAAATTAAATTAGCCAGGTTTGATGGCACACACCTGTAGTCCCAGCTACTTGGGAGGCTGAAGCAGGAGGATCACTTGAGCCCAAGAGGCAGATGTTGCAGTGAGCCCAGATCACGCCACTGCACTCCAGCCTGGGTGACAGAGTGAGATCCTGTCTCAAAAAAGAAAAAGTAATGTAGCAATATGTTCCCTTAGTTGTAACAAATGTACCACAGCAATGTAAGATGGTAACAATAGAAGTGGGTGTGGGCACTCTCAGAATTATCTTCGCAATTTTCCTGTTGATCTACAAGTACTCCAAAATTAAAAGTTTATTTAAATAATCTGTTTAACATTCAGTTGTGCTCCTTTCCAGACGCTGGCAACCAGTCGCTATGCAGTGATGACCACCCAGCTAAGACACAGCAATCTCTCACTGGTTTTCCACTACGTTTTTCTCCAGATCTGTAGGGCCCATGGCATTGGCTATGATCTTGAGGTATGAAGGGTTAGTGTTGGCTGGGGTGGACCAAAGACATGCCTGTGGGTGATCTAAGTAACTAATAATGTGGTGCCCCTTCAAATAGCTGTTTTTTAAATATGAGTTTCACGTGTCTGTAGAGGAAGGCAGATTCCTGCTTGGGGAAGAGCAGATTCACGACTCCACAGAGAGTAGCACTTAGTCCTGGAAAGCTCTACTTCGTCCCCAGACTTACACGCCCACTTTGGCAAAGCAAAAGCCATGCAGCTCTCCAGATCTAGGAGGCCTTTTGGGGACCACCTCCTGATCCTGAAGCAGGCCCGGAGCTTCCTGGTCCCACCCAAAGCTGCTTATCACTGCATAGCCTCTGTCTTAGTCTGCTGGGGCTGCCATAACAAAACAGCACAAACTCAATGGCTTGAACCACAGAAATGTATTTCCTCGCTGTCTGGCAGCCGGTAAATCCAAGAACAAGGCACTAGCAGATTTGGTTCCTGGTGAGGGTCTGCTTCCTGGCTTGTAAATGGCTGCCTCTTTGTTGTGTCCTCACAGAGTGGAGAGAGAGAAAGATCTGTTGTCTTTTTTACAAGGTACCAGTTCTGTCAGTCAGAGCATCATGCCTACAACCTCATTTAACCTTAGTCACTTCCTTAGAGGCTCTGTCTCCAATACAGTCACTTGGTGGTTAGGACACAGTTCAGTCCATAGCATCTTCCTACCTATGTATGATCATTTATTTCTGAAGGGAGTGCTGGTAAAAACAGTGGCTCACGCCTGTGATCCCAACACTTTGGGAGTCCGAGGCAGGTGGATCACATAAGGTCGGGAGTTCAAGACCAGCCTGACTAACATGGAGAAACCCTGTCTCTACTAAAAATACAAAATTAGCCAGGTGTGGTGGCACATGCCTGTAATCCCAGCTAATTAGGAGGCTGAGGAAGAAAAATTACTTGAACTCAGAAGGCGAAGGTTGCAGTGAGCCGAGATTACGCCAGCTTGGGCAACAAGAGCAAAGCTCCATCTCAAAAAGAAAAAAAAAAGTTTCCTTTAGTTTTGGTCTATTGCCGACGATGCCGGGTTCCTTGCATAGCTGTTTTATCCTGATGTTGCTGACTAAGGGTAAGGGCAATGCAAAATCTCCTGCCGAAAATAGAACCTCCGCTTTGTGCCGAGAAACTCAGGTTACTCCCGAGAAATAGTTTCATGTTTTCCACTTTGATTCAGATTTTCAAGTCTCTCACACTCAGGGCCATTCTAAAACCCTGAGTAACCCCGTACACTCTTACTTATGGAAAACCCACTTGATAGCACATCAAACATCTTAAAATATATTCCCCTCCCACATTAACTACAAGGTGTATATAATAAGAATTGAGTAGGCCAGGCATGGTGGCTCACGTTTGTAATCCCAGCACTTTGGGAGGCTGAGGCAGGTGCATCGCCTGAGGTCAGGAGTTTGAGACCAGCTTGGCCAACATAGTGAAACCCTGTCTCCACTAAAAATACAAAAATTAGCCGGGCGTGTTGGTACTTGCCTCTAACACCAGCTACTTGGGAGGCTGAGGCAGGAGAATCTCTTGAACCCAGGAGGCAGAGGTTTCAGTGAGCTGAGATTGCACCATTGCACTCCAGCCTGGAGAACAAGAGCAAGACTTCAGCTCAAAAAAAAAAAAAAAAAAGTTTTGAGTAGTAACCAATCAGGTGTTTTGATTTGTAGGTATTCAACTCTACGTTTATTAACTTATATTCTTTATACTTGGGACCAGTATAATTTTCAGGGATCAAATATTTTTATACGTTCTTAAAATATTAAGGCCATGCAGACCTTCAGCATGAGGCCAAGAGTGAAGAGAATGATCTGGCTGACACTTGGCAATCCCCAGCAGGCTGCCATGCACTGTCAGGGCGCAAGAGACCCTTTGGTTAGATGGATTCCTGCTGTTTGCAGACACATAAAGTGGAGCTTGGATCCCTTTACAGATTACATTAAAATTGATAAAATAAAGAGAGAATGAAGAAGCCAGATTGAACTGATTTACCTGAAATTAATTGTTGCATCTGCTACACACAATCCCTTTGGAATTAAATAGTTTTTATCCCCAAACTGATTAGACCGAAACACTTCCACATACCAGAAGGTGGCTAACTCTAACTCTAGCTTTATCTGAATCTATTTATTTTATTTTATTCCAAAATATCAAAGTAGAACAAGCTCTATAAAAAAGCATATTTGGCAGGGACAGTCTCCTGCCCTCACTCCCCCAAAAAATGCTTTATCACTTTCTATTGCCTGAAACTATTATTAGAGATTTATTTGGCCGGGTGCGGTGGCTCACGCCTATTATCCCAGCACTTTGGGAGGCTGAGGCGGGTGGATCACGAGGTCAAGAGATCGAGACCATCCTGGTCAACATGGTGAAACCCCGTCTCTACTAAAAATACAAAAATTAGCTGGGCATGGTGGCGCGCGCCTGTAGTCCCCGCTACTCGGGAGGCTGAGGCAGGAGAATTGCTTGAACCCAGGAGGCGGAGGTTGCAGTGAACCGAGATCGTGCCATTGCACTCCAGCCTGGGTAACAAGAGCGAAACTCCGTCTCAAAAAAAAAAAAAAAGAAAAAAAAAAGAGATTTATTTTGGAGGCTTAAGACTTGGTATTTAACTGAAGTTCAAGTACCCTTGGGGAAAGTAAAGCACCAAACTTTGTAAGTTATTTACTCCTTTGTCTCTGAGCTGATCAGATCTATTTCTAAGAGCAGATTTTCATAGGGGAAACAGATGGCCAAGGCCCGGGGGAAGCAGGTGGATGGCGCAGAGGAAAGGCCTCCACTGAGGGTCAGGGAGCTGACTGAAGACAGCTACAGAAAAGGCAGACAGGGACACTGACGACACTTCCAGTAGAGTCTCATGGACTCACCTCCAGGTCACCCATGTACGGCAACTAAAAAAAAAAAGAAAGGTAAAATAAGAGAGAAGAATATAGATTGGGGCAACAGAGTGATGAAACAATGCAAAGAAGGAAAAGATAACAGAAGAAAAGGGAGAGGAGGAAATCCAGAGACAAATAATCCACTAAAAGAGGAGGAGGGGATAATCAGAAAGAAAAGGAACAGGGAGCAAGCAGAAGCACAAGAAAAGAGGGAAGAAGTTGAGTCACAAAAATCCAAGGCGAGAAGGAGTCACATGACTACTTGAACATTTTGGAAATTTTCCCGCAGTATCCTTGCTTTATTTTTACTGAAATGAGTTTTCATCTTTTCAGACCCTGGGATCCGTTCCTGGTCAGGATTCTTCACTTGCTGTCTTAATTGCCTTTTCTTGGGTGGGAGGGTGGTAAGTGGTGAACCAGCATTTATGGAGTGTCTACTGTGTACTGGCCTCTGAACTGAGCACTTTACTTCATTATCTCATTTATTTTTCATGCCTGTCCTATAAGAAGGTCTTTTGTTGTTGTTATTGTTGTTGTTTTAAGATGGAGTCTCGCTCTGTCACCAGGCTGGAATGCAGTGGCATGATCTTGGCTCACTGAAACCTCCACCTCCTGGGTTCAAGTGATTCTTCTGCCTCAGCCTCCCAACTAGCTGGGACCACAGGCACATGCCACCACGCCTGGCTAATTTTGGTATTTTTAGTAGAGACAGGGTTTCACCGTGTTGGCCAGGATGGTCTCGATCTCTTGACCTCATGATCTGCCCGCCTCAGCCTTCCAAAGTGCTGGGATTACAGGTGTGAATCAACGCACCTGGCCAAGAAGGTGTTATTTCTACCATATTACAGTGAAGACTTTAGAACTAAAGATTTTAAGCACTTTCCCAGGGTCATACAGCCAGGAATTTTGTGGAACTGACTTTTGAACCCATAGTTAACTACAAAGTCAAGCATGATTCTTCATCTTACACAAGGTGTCCACTATATTAAACCTTTTTCCCTCCTAAGGACTTTTTTCCACTAACTGTCTCTATTTCCCACTGTCTCTATTTCTATTTCTAAAAAATTACTAAGCCAGTCCAAGAAGAATTCTGGAATCTACTTCCAATAAGCTATCCCCTCTAGGTACCTCTTATGTATTCCTCTGCTGGAGAAACACAGACTTCTCTTCCTAGCCCCTATGACTATCTCTACCTTACAAAGGAGAAAAAAAAGTTTATTAATTTCCCTAAAATTTTATTGCCTCTTGGGGTTGTGCTGAGTCCAAAAACAAGATCATTTACCCAAATTCCGGAGTAACCTGCTCCAACTCTTGGTTAAGTTTAATGTAAGTGCTCATTCCAGAAAAAGAAAGTAGCATTAATAACACATGATTGTCAGCCAGGCACAATAGCTCATGTTGTAATACCAGCACTCTGGGAAGCTAGGTGGACGGATCACCTGAGGTGGGGAGTTTGAGACCACCCTGACCAACATGGAGAAACCCTGTCTCTACTAAAAATACAAAATTAGCTGGGCGTGATGGTGCATGTCTGTAATCACAGCTACTCGGGAGACTGAGGCAGGAGAATAGCTTGCACTCAAAAAGCAGAGGTTGCAGTCAGCTGAGATTGCGCCATTGCACTCCAGCCTTGGCAACAAGAGCAAAACGCTGTCTTAAAAAAAAAAAAAAAAAAAATTACCACTGCTACCAAAAGAAGGATCCTCAAAAGTTCTTATTTGCAGCACTGTTTTTCTTCCCATTATGATCATAGACTTTCAAGAACTTGATGTTCTTGTCCAAAGTCCCAGGGAAAAAAAGGGAAATGAAAGCACTCTATGAGCTTATCTTTCCTTGATGCATATGGCAAGGGAGCATCACTGAGTTTGTAAGCAACTTGGCAGGTCTCATTCCGGGTATTTCTCTAATGCTACAGAATACCCCCACTGATTTCCTAATGAAATGAAGTTGTAATGAAAGCCATATGGAGAAAGGCGTCATGTTTACTGCTTGCAACAGTGTGAGGCAGGGCTAGTGTCACACATATATAGGCAGTGTGCCACCACCCTAAATGGCTCCACAGTCACCAGCAATCATTTCCTCTGGCCAGGGT